TTTTTTTTCAGCCATCTTCATGGTATAACTTCCGTTTAATAATCCAACATTTGAATGTAATAGTTCAGAATGCAGGTGCAATTAGTCAACTCATAGCAATTCCTCATTTGTTCCTGTGAATGGCTCTTCTTATCAAGTCAAGATTTGTAAGATCAGTTGTACTAATAGCTTGTACCTCCATTCCAATAAACACAATTAAGAATGCAAATTATGTAAAATTTGTCGATTGGACATGTGTCTTCGTTCGTGTCTCAGTAACGTTTTAGATTATTAAACGGAAGTTATAGCATAAAAATGGCTGAAAAAAGCAGCCGAAACGTCGGTAATATATGTATTGTTATAGAATAAAGAACAATTGTATTGTACATCTAGAACAACTGTGTACTAGCTCTTAGTTGCCTATTTATTTTGTAATATTGCACTTCTAATATTTTGAACATCAGGATATATTACAAAGATTACTCTTTTTGTGTTTAAATTTAATTATTTAACAATAAAAGCCTTTATCTGGCTTATATTGATGTATCGTAGTCTTCGTTTTGCGTTACACGATTCAATGAATTATCATGTATTGAGTCTATGTACTTTAATAAATCTCTTAAGCTGATTAAAGTATCTTGGGAAGTATAGAATTATTCGATTCTTTTTATGAAAGCATCGCGTCTACCATTCTCAATTTCGAAAATTAATCATCCTTTTAATATTTCATAACTGTATTGTATCAATTCTGTTACTTATAGGTGAGATTCGTGTAAACGAACAGTTGGTACTTACCTGCATGCACACTTTAATGGCGCGAGAGCATAACCGGATTGCTAAAGCATTGGCCGTCATAAATCCGCACTGGGACGATGAGATTCTCTTTCAGGAAGCTAGGCGCATCGTCATCGCGGAAATCCAACACATCACTTATAACGAGTTCCTCCCCATATTACTCGGCAAAGATGTCATGGAGAAATTCGGACTTCTCCTCGAGAAGGAAGTAAGTTGAACTGACGACACTCTGAAACAAATTGAAACAAAATTTATGAATATTTATGCACAAATTACAAAGACATAATTTGTTATAAATAAAGATAACTTCAAAACATCGTTAATAAAGTAATTCATTTTTTAAATGCAGAAATAACAATGTTTAATGACTATGTATGTATGTACGTTATTATAATAATTAAGATTTAATGATATACATTTTTCGTTTATTTTTTGCCGTTCGTTGAACAGCTTTTAACAGTAATAACAATAATAACCGCGTTGACATTAAGATATCAATTTTCCATAGAAATACTGGGATGGATACGATCAAAGCATAAATCCAGGCGTAATAGACGCTTTCGCTGCTGCTGCCTTTAGATTCGGTCACTCACTATTGCCCACGGCTGTAGAACGATGGAGTAAAGCTCATAAATTTATTGGTAAGGCGACAATATATACTAATCGCATATAACAAGATTATATTACACTAACAAGCCATATTAGAAATCGTTTCTCTTGATTATATATATTCTTTAATAATTTTTTTAAATCATTTTTTTTAATCTTGTAGGCTAAATAGAAACTTCTCTTCTCTAAACAGATAAATTTTTAATTCATAATATGTATAAATAATAAAATTTCACTTTAAATAAATTCTGAAATTTATTTTAAAATTTGCTCATTAAAATATTTAATATTATGGATAATAAGGTGGCCTCTCTCTCTCTCTCTCTCATCAATTTTTCGTTAGAATATTTAATTTTTTTTCCTTCAAATATGATTTCAAATTATCTATATTTATCTTTATAGCTTCAAAGAGACTCTCAGATTTGATAAGACGCCCTTATGACTTGTACCGGGCTGGTGTATTCGATGAATATTTAATGGGCTTGATGAACCAAGTTGCTCAAGCTATGGATGATTCTATAACGCAAGAAGTAAAACAATGATTAACATAAACAAATTATAAAATTATGCCGTACTATACGGTTTATTCTTTACAGGTGACAAATCATCTCTTCAAAAAAGTTGGAGCAAAATTCGGACTGGATTTGGTATCCTTTAACATGCAACGCGGCCGCGAGTTTGGTATTCCAAGTTATATGGAGTTTAGGTGAATTATTGTTAAGCCGTACTTGTATTAATAAACTTGTTTAACTAACTGTAGTTAAGAGCGGTATCTGTATACCACAATAATAATCTTCTGTATAGTCAGCGTATACTATAAGCACAAATAAATGGAACGGAAGATTGAACAGAAGTAAAGTTGAATGATAATAAAATCACAGAAAAGTCATCGAAATATATAACTAATTTTCTGTCACAAATCAGAAAGTTCAAATACATTACCAAAAATAAATTATTCAGTAATATATCGCAATGTTGATAGAAAAGTGGTACAAGTAAAAAATGAGCATTTTTGAGATAAAGAAAATCGAATCTACAGATTACTATATTACTATGAAAAATAATACATTTATCAACAAATTGCTTATATGAAAAAATGTTACAAATCTGATAAAGAATAAAATTTACAAAACCCTATATTAGGAATTGCAGTGTTTAAATTTTGAGAACTCATGACACAGTTTT